GTGATGGGGCGAGGACGGTGTGTTAGTGTCGGGGCGAGGACGGTGTGTTAGTGTCGGGGCGAGGACGGTGTGTTAGTGATGGGGCGAGGACGGTGTGTTAGTGTCGGGGCGAGGACGGTGTGTTAGTGATGGGGCGAGGACGGTGTGTTAGTGTCGGGGCGAGGACGGTGTGTTAGTGTCGGGGCGAGGACGGTGTGTTAGTGATGGGGCGAGGACGGTGCGTTAGTGTCGGGGCGAGGACGGTGTGTTAGTGTCGGGGCGAGGACGGTGTGTTAGTGATGGGGCGAGGACGGTGTGTTAGTGTCGGGGCGAGGACGGTGTGTTAGTGTGGGCCGAGGACGGTGTGTTAGTGATGGGGCGAGGACGGTGTGTTAGTGATGGGGCGAGGACGGTGTGTTAGTGTCGGGGCGAGGACGGTGTGTTAGTGTGGGGCGAGGACGGTGTGTTAGTGTCGGGGGCGAGGACGGTGTGTTAGTGTCGGGGCGAGGACGGTGTGTTAGTGATGGGGCGAGGACGGTGAGTTAGTGATGGGGCGAGGACGGTGTGTTAGTGTCGGGGCGAGGACGGTGTGTTAGTGTCGGGGCGAGGACGGTGTGTTAGTGTGGGGCGAGGACGGTGTGTTAGTGTCGGGGGCGAGGACGGTGTGTTAGTGTCGGGGCGAGGACGGTGTGTTAGTGTCGGGGCGAGGACGGTGTGTTAGTGTCGGGGGCGAGGACGGTGTGTTAGTGATGGGGCGAGGACGGTGTGTTAGTGATGGGGCGAGGACGGTGTGTTAGTGATGGGGCGAAGACGGTGTGTTAGTGATGGGGCGAGGACGGTGTGTTAGTGTCGGGGGCGAGGACGGTGTGTTAGTGATGGGGCGAGGACGGTGTGTTAGTGATGGGGCGAGGACGGTGTGTTAGTGTCGGGGCGAGGACGGTATTAGTGTCGGGGCGAGGACGGTGTTAGTGTCGGGGCGAGGACGGTGTTAGTGTCAGGGCGAGGACGGTGTGTTAGTGTTGGGGCGAGGACGGTGTGTTAGTGATGGGGCGAGGACGGTGTGTTAGTGTCGGGGGCGAGGACGGTGTGTTAGTGATGGGGCGAGGACGGTGTGTTAGTGTCGGGGCGAGGACGGTGTGTTAGTGTCGGGGCGAGGACGGTGTGTTAGTGTTGGGGCGAGGACGGTGTGTTAGTGTCGGGGCGAGGACGGTGTGTTAGTGTCGGGGCGAGGACGGTGTGTTAGTGATGGGGCGAGGACGGTGAGTTAGTGTCGGAGCGGGGACGGTGTTAGTGTCGGGGCGAGGACGGTGTGTTAGTGTCGGGGCGAGGACGGTGTGTTAGTGTCGGGGGCGAGGACGGTGTGTTAATGTCGGGGGCGAGGACGGTGTGTTAGAGTTGGGGCGAGGACGGTGTGTTAGTGTCGGGGCGAGGACAGTGTTAGTGTTGGGGCGAGGACGGTGTGTTAGTGTCGGGGCGAGGACGGTGTGTTAGTGTTGGGGCGAGGACGGTGTGTTAGTGTCGGGGCGAGGACGGTGTTAGTGTCGGGGCGAGGAGGATCTGTTAGTGTCGGGGCGAGGACGGTGTGTTAGTGTCGGGGCGAGAACGGTGTTAGTGTCGGGCGAGGACGGTGTGTTAGTGTCGGGGCGAGGACGGTGTGTTAGTGTCGGGGCGAGGACGGTGTTAGTGTCGGGCGAGGACGGTGTGTTAGTGATAAGGCGAGGACGGTGTGTTAGTGTCGGGGCGAGGACGGTGTGTTAGTGTCGGGGCGAGGACGGTGTGTTAGTGATGGGGCGAGGACGGTGTGTTAGTGTCGGGGCGAGGACGGTGTGTTAGTGTTGGGGCGAGGACGGTGTGTTAGTGATGGGGCGAGGACGGTGTGTTAGTGTCGGGGCGAGGACGGTGTGTTAGTGTCAGGGCGAGGACGGTGTGTTAATGTCGGGGCGAGGACGGTGTTAATGTGGGGCGAGGACGGTGTTAGTGTCGGGGCGAGGACGGTGTTAGTGTCGGGGCGAGGACAGTGTGTTAGTGTTGGGGCGAGGACTGTGTGTTAGTGTTGGGGCGAGGACGGTGTGTTAGTGTCGGGGCGAGGACGGTGTTAGTGTCGGGGCGAGGACGGTGTTAGTGTCGGGGCGAGGACGGTGTTAGTGTCGGGGCGAGGAGGATCTGTTAGTGTCGGGGCAAGGACGGTGTGTTAGTGTCGGGGCGAGGACGGTGTTATTATCTGGGCGAGGACAGTGTTAGTGTCGGGGCGAGGACGGTGTGTTAGTGTCGGGCGACGACGGTGTTAGTGTCTGGGCGAGGGCAGTGTTAGTGTCGGGGCGAGGACGGTGTGTTAGTGATGGGGCGAGGACGGTGTGTTAGTGTTGGGGCGAGGACGGTGTTAGTGTCGGGGCGTGGAGGGTGTGTTAGTGATGGGGCGAGGACGGTGTGTTAGTGTCGGGGCGAGGACGGTGTGTTAGTGTGGGCCGAGGACGGTGTGTTAGTGTCGGGGCGAGGACGGTGTGTTAGTGATGGCGCGAGGACGGTGTGTTAGTGTCGGGGCGAGGACGGTGTGTTAGTGTCGGGGCGAGGACGGTGAGTGTCGGGGCGAGGACGGTGTGTTAGTGTCGGGGCGAGGACGGTGTTAGTGTCGGGGCGAGGACAGTGTTAGTGTCGGGGCGAGGACGGTGTGTTAGTGTCGGGCGAGGAGGGTGTGTTAGTGATGGGGCGAGGACGGTGTGTTAGTGTTGGGGCGAGGACGGTGTTAGTGTCGGGCGAGGACGGTGTGTTAGTGATGGGGCGAGAACGGTGTGTTAGTGTCGGGGCGAGGACGGTGTTAGTGTTGGGGCGAGGACGGTGTGTTAGTGTCGGGGCGAGGACGGTGTTAGTGTCTGGGCGAGGACAGTGTTACAGTAGGGGCGAGGACGGTGTGTTAGTGTCGGGGCGACGACGGTGTGTGAGTGTTGGGGCGAGGACGGTGTGTTAGTGTTGGGGTGAGGACGGTGTGTTAGTGTCGGGGCGAGGACGGTGTGTTAGTGTCGGGGCGCGGACGGTGTGTTAGTGTCGGGGCGAGGACGGTGTTAGTGTTGGGGCGAGGACGGTGTTAGTGTCGGGGCGAGGACGGTGTGTTAGTGTCGGGGCGAGGACGGTGTGTTAGTGTCGGGGCGAGGACGGTGTGGTAGTGTCGGGGCGAGGACGGTGTGTTAGTGTCGGGGCGAGGACGGTGTGTTAGTGTTGGGGCGAGGACGGTGTTAGTGTCGGGGCGAGGACGGTGTGTTAGTGTCGGGGCGAGGACGGCGTGTTAGTGTGGGGCGAGGACGGTGTGTTAGTGTCGGGGGCGAGGACGGTGTGTTAGTGTTGGGCGAGGACGGTGTGTTAGTGTGGGGCGAGGACGGTGTGTTAGTGTTGGGGCGAGGACGGTGTGTTAGTGTCGGGGCGAGGACGGTGTGTTAGTGTCGGGGCGAGGATGGCGTGTTAGTGTTGGGGCGAGGACGGTGTGTTAGTGTCGGGGCGAGGACAGTGTGTTAGTGTGGGGCGAGGACGGTGTGTTAGTGTCGGGGCGAGGACGGTGTGTTAGTGTCGGGGGCGAGGACGGTGTGTTAGTGTCGGGGCGAGGACAGTGTGGTAGTGTTGGGGCGAGGACGGTGTGTTAGTGTCGGGGCGAGGACAGTGTGGTAGTGTAGGGGCGAGGACGGTGTTAGTGTTGGGGCGAGGACGGTGTGTTAGTGTCGGGGCGAGGACGGTGTGTTAGTGATGGGGCGAGGACGGTGTGTTAGTGTCGGGGCGAGGACGGTGTGTTAGTGATGGGGCGAGGACGGTGTGTTAGTGTCGGGGCGAGGACGGTGTGTTAGTGTCGGGGCGAGGACGGTGTGTTAGTGATGGGGCGAGGACGGTGTGTTAGTGTCGGGGCGAGGACGGTGTGTTAGTGTCGGGGCGAGGACGGTGTGTTAGTGTCGGGGCGAGGACGGTGTGTTAGTGTCGGGGCGAGGACGGTGTGTTAGTGATGGGGCGAGGACGGTGCGTTAGTGTCGGGGCGAGGACGGTGTGTTAGTGTCGGGGCGAGGACGGTGTGTTAGTGATGGGGCGAGGACGGTGTGTTAGTGTCGGGGCGAGGACGGTGTGTTAGTGTGGGCCGACGACGGTGTGTTAGTGATGGGGCGAGGACGGTGTGTTAGTGATGGGGCGAGGACGGTGTGTTAGTGTCGGGGCGAGGACGGTGTGTTAGTGTGGGGCGAGGACGGTGTGTTAGTGTCGGGGGCGAGGACGGTGTGTTAGTGTCGGGGCGAGGACGGTGTGTTAGTGATGGGGCGAGGACGGTGAGTTAGTGATGGGGCGAGGACGGTGTGTTAGTGTCGGGGCGAGGACGGTGTGTTAGTGTCGGGGCGAGGACGGTGTGTTAGTGTGGGGCGAGGACGGTGTGTTAGTGTCGGGGGCGAGGACGGTGTGTTAGTGTCGGGGCGAGGACGGTGTGTTAGTGTCGGGGCGAGGACGGTGTGTTAGTGTCGGGGGCGAGGACGGTGTGTAAGTGATGGGGCGAGGACGGTGTGTTAGTGATGGGGCGAGGACGGTGTGTTAGTGATGGGGCGAGGACGGTGTGTTAGTGATGGGGCGAGGACGGTGTGTTAGTGTCGGGGGCGAGGACGGTGTGTTAGTGATGGGGCGAGGACGGTGTGTTAGTGATGGGGCGAGGACGGTGTGTTAGTGTCGGGGCGAGGACGGTGTGTTAGTGTGGGGCGAGGACGGTGTGTTAGTGTCGGGGGCGAGGACGGTGTGTTAGTGTCGGGGCGAGGACGGTGTGTTAGTGTCGGGGCGAGGACGGTGTGTTAGTGTTGGGGCGAGGACGGTGTGTTAGTGTCGGGGCGAGGACGGTGTGTTAGTGTCGGGGCGAGGACGGTGTGTTAGTGTCGGGGCGAGGACGGTGTGTTAGTGTCGGGGCGAGGACGGTGTGTTAGTGATGGGGCGAGGACGGTGTGCTAGTGTTGGACCACACCCACAATGGTCCCTGTACACCCACAATGGTCCCTACACACCCACAATGGTCCCTACACACTCACAATGGTCCCTTCACACCCACAATGGTCTCTGTACACCTACAATGGTCTCTGTACACCCACAATGGTCCCTGCACACCCACAATGGTCCCTGCACACCCACAATGGTCCCTGCACACCCACAATGGTCCCTGCACACCCACAATGGTCCCTGTACACCCACAAAGGTTTCTGTACACCCACAATGGTCCCTGTACACCCACAATGGTCTCTGTACACCCACAATGGTCCCTACACACCCACAATGGTCCCTGTACACCCACAAAGGTTTCTGTACACCCACAATGGTCCCTGCACACCCACAATGGTCCCTGCACACCCACAATGGTCTCTGTACACCCACAATGGTCCCTACACACCCACAATCGTCCCTGTACACCCACAATGGTCCCTGAACACCCACAGTGGTCCCTACACACCCACAATGGTCCCTGTACACCTACAATAGTCCCTGCACACCCACAATGATCCCTACACACCCACAATGGTCCCTGTACACCCACAATGGTCCCTGTATACCCACAATGGTCCCTACACACCCACAATGGTCCCTGTACACCCACAATGGTCCTTACACACCCACAATGGTCTCTGTACACCCACAATAGTCCCTGTACACCCACAATGGTCCCTGCACACCCACAATGGTCCCTACACACCCACAATGGTCCCTGTACACCCACAGTGGTCCCTGTACACCCACAATGGTCTCTGTACACCCACAATGGTTCCTGTACGCCCACAATGGTCCCTGTACACCCACAATGGTCCCTACACACCAACAATGGTCCCTGTACACCCACAATGGTTCCTGTACACCCACAATGGTCCCTGTACACCCACAATGGTCCCTGTACACCCACAATGGTCTCTGTACACCCACAATGGTCCCTACACACCCACAATGGTCCCTACACACCCACAATGGTCCCTACACACCCGTAATGGTCCCTACACACCCGCAATGGTCCCTACACATTGGTCCCTACACACCCCACAGTGGTCCCTACACACCCACAATGGTCCCTGTACACCCACAATGGTCCCTGTACACCCACAATGGTCCCTGTACACCCACAATGGTCCCTGTACACCCACAATGGTCCCTGTACACCCACAATGGTCCCTGTACACCCACAATGGTCCCTGTACACCCACAATGGTCCCTAAACACCCAGAATGGTCCCTACACACCCAGAATGGTCCCTACACACCCACAATGGTCCCTGTACACCCACAATGGTCCCTGTACACCCACAATGGTCCCTGTACACCCACAATGGTCCCTGTACACCCACAATGGTCCCTGTACACCCACAATGGTCCCTGTACACCCACAATGGTCCCTACACACCCAGAATGGTCCCTACACACCCAGAATGGTCCCTACACACCCACAATAGTCCCTGTACACCCACAATGGTCCCTGTACACCCACAATGGTCCCTGTACACCCACAATGGTCCCTGTACACCCACAATGGTCCCTGTACACCCACAATGGTCCCTACACACCCAGAATGGTCCCTACACACCCAGAATGGTCCCTACACACCCGCAATGGTCCCTACACACCCGCAATGGTCCCTACACACCCACAATGGTCCCTACACACCCACAATGGTCCCTACACACCCACAATGGTCCCTGTACACCCAGAATGGTCCCTACACACCCAGAATGGTCCCTACACACCCAGAATGGTCCCTGTACACCCACAATGGTCCCTACACACCCAGAATGGTCCCTACACACCCAGAATGGTCCCTACACACCCACAATGGTCCCTGTACACCCGCAATGGTCCCTGTACACCCACAATGGTCCCTACACACCCGCAATGGTCCCTGTACACCCACAATGGTCCCTACACACCCACAATGGTCCCTACACACCTACAATGGTCCCTACACACCCACAATGGTCCCTACACACCCGCAATGGTTCCTACACACCCAGAATGGTCCCTACACACCCATAATGGTCCCTACACACCCACAATGGTCCCTGTACACCCACAATGGTCCCTACACGCCCGCAATGGTCCCTACACACCCACAATGGTCCCTACACACCCGCAATGGTCCCTACACACCCACAATGGTCCCTGTACACCCACAATGGTCCCTACACACCCACAATGGTCCCTACACACCCACAATGGTCCCTACACACCCGCAATGGTCCCTACACACCCACAATGGTCCCTGTACACCCACAATGGTCCCTACACACCCACAATGGTCCCTACACACCCACAATGGTCCCTACACACCCGCAATGGTCCCTACACACCCGCAATGGTCCCTACACACCCACAATGGTCCCTACACACCCACAATGGTCCCTGTACACCCACAATGGTCCCTACACACCCACAATGGTCCCTACACACCCACAATGGTCCCTACACACCCACAATGGTCCCTGTCCCTGTACACCCACAATGGTCCCTACACACCCACAATGGTCCCTACACACCCACAATGGTCCCTACACTCCACAATGGTCCCTGTACACCCACAATGGTCCCTACACACCCACAATGGTCCCTACACACCCGCAATGGTCCCTACACACCCACAATGGTCCCTGTACACCCACAATGGTCCCTACACACCCACAATGGTCCCTACACACCCACAATGGTCCCTACACACCCACAATGGTCCCTGTACACCCACAATGGTCCCTACACACCCACAATGGTCCCTACACACCCACAATGGTCCCTACACACCCACAATGGTCCCTACACACCCACAATGGTCCCTACACACCCACAATGGTCCCTACACACCCACAATGGTCCCTACACACCCACAATGGTCCCTACACACCCACAATGGTCCCTACACACCCGCAATGGTCCCTACACACCCACAATGGTCCCTGTACACCCACAATGGTCCCTACACACCCACAATGGTCCCTACACACCCACAATGGTCCCTGTACACCCACAATGGTCCCTGTACACCCACAATGGTCCCTACACACCCACAATGGTCCCTACACACCCACAATGGTCCCTACACACCCGCAATGGTCCCTACACACCCACAATGGTCCCTACACACCCACAATGGTCCCTGTACACCCACAATGGTCCCTACACACCCACAATGGTCCCTACACACCCGCAATGGTCCCTACACACCCACAATGGTCCCTGTACACCCACAATGGTCCCTACACACCCACAATTGTCCCTACACACCCACAATGGTCCCTACACACCCGCAATGGTCCCTACACACCCGCAATGGTCCCTACACACCCACAATGGTCCCTACACACCCGCAATGGTCCCTATACACCCACAATGGTCCCTACACACCCACAATGGTCCCTACACACCCACAATGGTCCCTACACACCCACAATGGTCCCTACACACCCACAATGGTCCCTACACACCCACAATGGTCCACAATGGTCCCTGTACACCCACAATGGTCCCTACACACCCTCAATGGTCCCTGTACACCCACAATGGTCCCTACACACCCGCAATGGTCCCTACACACCCACAATGGTCCCTACACACCCGCAATGGTCCCTACACACCCACAATGGTCCCTGTACACCCACAATGGTCCCTACACACCCACAATGGTCCCTACACACCCACAATGGTCCCTACACACCCGCAATGGTCCCTACACACCCGCAATGGTCCCTACACACCCACAATGGTCCCTACACACCCACAATGGTCCCTGTACACCCACAATGGTCCCTACACACCCACAATGGTCCCTACACACACCCACAATGGTCCCTACACACCCACAATGGTCCCTACACACCCACAATGGTCCCTACACACCCACAATGGTCCCACACCCACAATGGTCCCTACACCCACAATGGTCCCTACACCCACAATGGTCCCTACACACCCACAATGGTCCCTACACACCCACAATGGTCCCTACACACCCACAATGGTCCCTGGTCCCTGTACACCCACAATGGTCCCTACACACCCACAATGGTCCCTACACACCCACAATGGTCCCTACACACCCGCAATGGTCCCTACACACCCACAATGGTCCCTGTACACCCACAATGGTCCCTACACACCCACAATGGTCCCTACACACCCACAATGGTCCCTACACACCCACAATGGTCCCTACACACCCACAATGGTCCCTGTACACCCACAATGGTCCCTACACACCCACAATGGTCCCTACACACCCACAATGGTCCCTGTACACCCACAATGGTCCCTACACACCCACAATGGTCCCTGTACACCCACAATGGTCCCTACACACCCACAATGGTCCCTACACACCCACAATGGTCCCTACACACCCGCAATGGTCCCTACACACCCACAATGGTCCCTCCACACCCACAATGGTCCCTACACACCCACAACGGTCCCTGTACACCCACCCTACAATGGTCCCTACACACCCACAATGGTCCCTACACACCCACAATGGTCCCTACACACCCACAATGGTCCCTACACACCCACAATGGTCCCTACACACCCACAATGGTCCCTACACACCCCTGTACAATGGTCCCTACACACCCACAATGGTCCCTACACACCCGCAATGGTCCTTAATGGTCCCTGTACACCCACAATGGTCCCTACACACCCACAATGGTCCCTACACACCCACAATGGTCCCTACACACCCACAATGGTCCCTACACACCCACAATGGTCCCTACACACCCACAATGGTCCCTACACACCCACAATGGTCCCTACACACCCACAATGGTCCCTACACACCCACAATGGTCCCTACACACCCACAATGGTCCCTACACACCCACAATGGTCCCTACACACCCACAATGGTCCCTACACACCCAATGGTCCCTACACACCCACAATGGTCCCTACACACCCACAATGGTCCCTACACACCCACAATGGTCCCTACACACCCACAATGGTCCCTGGTCCCTACACACCCACAATGGTCCCTACACCCACAATGGTCCCTACACACCCACAATGGTCCCTACACACCCACAATGGTCCCTGTACACCCACAATGGTCCCTGTACACCCACAATGGTCCCTACACACCCACAATGGTCCCTACACACCCACAATGGTCCCTACACACCCGCAATGGTCCCTACACACCCACAATGGTCCCTACACACCCACAATGGTCCCTGTACACCCACAATGGTCCCTACACACCCACAATGGTCCCTACACACCCGCAATGGTCCCTACACACCCACAATGGTCCCTGTACACCCACAATGGTCCCTACACATGGTCCCTACACACCCACAATGGTCCCTACACACCCACAATGGTCCCTACACACCCGGTCAATGGTCCCTACACACCCGCAATGGTCCCTAACACCCACAATGGTCCCTACACACCCACAATGGTCCCTACACACCCACAATGGTCCCTACACACCCACAATGGTCCCTACACACCCACAATGGTCCCTGTACACCCACAATGGTCCCTACACACCCACAATGGTCCCTGTACACCCACAATGGTCCCTACACACCCACAATGGTCCCTACACACCCACAATGGTCCCTACACACCCGCAATGGTCCCTACACACCCACAATGGTCCCTACACACCCACAATGGTCCCTACACACCCACAATGGTCCCTACACACCCACAATGGTCCCTACACACCCACAATGGTCCCTACACACCCACAATGGTCCCTACACACCCACAATGGTCCCTACACACCCACAATGGTCCCTACACACCCACAATGGTCCCTGTACACCCACAATGGTCCCTACACACCCACAATGGTCCCTACACACCCACAATGGTCCCTACACACCCACAATGGTCCCTACACACCCACAATGGTCCCTACACACCCACAATGGTCCCTACACACCCACAATGGTCCCTACACACCCCACAATGGTCCCTACACACCCACAATGGTCCCTACACACCCACAATGGTCCCTACACACCCACAATGGTCCCTACACACCCACAATGGTCCCTACACACCCACAATGGTCCCTACACACCCACAATGGTCCCTACACACCCACAATGGTCCCTACACAC